CGGTGTAATGAAGTACTTCATAGGGAAAAAAGTTCAAATGAAAGCAAAGAAACTGTCTAAAAAAGAATAAGAAAACTTCTTTCAAAAGAAAAAGAAAGAATAACAAAACAAACCTGAACAATACGAAAGAGAGCTGGCATAGGCTGTAGATCATAGTATGGAGGAACACATGTCAAAAGTTCAATCACAGTGCAGCCAACACTCCAAATGTCAGAAGCAGCACAAACCCCGGACATTTCAATCACCTGTTCATCCTCATATGAACGTACCAAAATGCACTAAAAATCAATCATGTAACATTTCTAGTAAGGATTGTCATATAAACATATCCTTTTTTTTTTAACTGAAAAGTACAATAGTAATATTAGTATGAGCACCAGGGGTGCAAATGAACATGTACAATTATTTACAGCTTAGTCCTCCATTCCAGTAATCTTCCTATAAGTCTCAAAATAAACCGGAGGAAAAAATATAAAAATACAAAAATGTACTTTCAAGAAATAATTTGAGAAAAAGAATACTATTAATATTAAAGTTAATTGACTAATATAAAAAGGAATGCTTCAATCATGTAACATCTGCCAAAAGTTCTGATAAATGTATATGAAAGAAGTGTTTCTGGCTCAATTCTGGGAGAAATCAGAGTTCGTAGACATTCAAGTAGTAAGGAGAAGGGAGGTCTAAGGACCCATTCTCCTTTCCATCTTTCGGATTTCAAGGATTGACAGAAACAAAAGAGCTTTCACAGAGTTGGAAAAAACCCTGACAGTAAAAGTAGGAATATTTGAATTGCACATGCTTTTATTTTTTGGTTATGCTCTCTCGGGTGAGGATGAGATGATAAACGTTACAGATATGTTATCTGCTTCCTAACTTGTACAGCTAGTACCCCCTGGTGCCTTGAGATTTGTGAATATTATTTTTGTTTTTCTTCTTAAACAGTAGAGTATTTTGGAAGAAGTACCTCCGGAGCCATCCAGTATGGTGTTCCAACAACTGAATGTGTGTTAACATCAGCCTCAGTTAGTTTTGTGGCGACACCAAAATCAGCAAGTTTGACAAGTCCCTGAAAACATGCATTAACTCAAGCACTTCATAGAAATTAGACAAAAACATCTTATACATGCTCGACAATCACCGAGAAAATGCACAAAGAAGCAAAATAAGATGAAAATAATCAACAAAAATAGCAATTTACAAACGATGTTTATTGGCTAAAGAGGTTCCAAGGATGCAAGGCTTATTTGTCTCAATTCATTCGTCATAGATTTCAGACCCTTAGTATCTCTGTGTAAGGGTCACCCCAAGAGTAATGGGGAAGATTTGTATTTGTTTTTCATTCCCCAAAAGAAAGAAACATCAAGGACTAAGGAAGAGCGCTTCTCAAGTATCATTACGAAGACATTATACAATTTGTAAGACCCCAAAACTAACAGATTCAGATACATTTATTTCAAAAAAAAAAACAGATTCAGATACATTAACAATATTTCCACTCTTTTCTTTATAACTAAACTGAAGTATGAAATATCAAATTGATAAAACCTCAACATGATATATCAACCAGATAAAAAGTCCAAAGGTGAGAAATGATAAAGGCAAAACCATCATGTCCAAATATTTTTGTAATGGATGAATCAGTAATTTGGAGGCCAGCCAAATGGCCTGAAATAAAAACAAGAGTGGCTTAAATAATCCTATAAATTTCCTGATGAAATAAAGAACCACAACTGATTTCATAGA